TTATGTACGCTATATTTAGCTTTTGTGTCCTCTACTAGCTTAAACCACGCGCTGATTGTCTCTAGATCCTCCTGCAGCATCCTCTGCCTATCTTTGGCTTGATTAAAGGCCATCTTAAGCGTAGCTGAACGCGTCACGAAGCGCTCAGCCTAGTGCTTGCCAACAGGCTGCCCACCGCGTACACCCAACAGTTTGTTGGCCATATCTGCCACCTCGCACAGCTAGGGCGCGAATCCTTGCGAATTAAGGTCAAGAATGTATTGTATAATTGTTTGCTCTTTAGTGCGCGTAAGCTTATATCGTGCATTGCGTCTATTATTAATATAGAGTCTGCCTCTATACCTAGCACTTAAGGTTATACGCAGTACGTTAAATGCCTAAGTAGCACTTTAGAGGCTTTTAAATTTATGTAATTAGAAAGTAGAAAGGGCAAGATTAATTCTACCCTCTTGTTTAGATAATTGCATATCTTGTTAGCAAGGCATTACATGTTAATATTAATAGTTGTGGTCTTGGCAAGAAATGGCCTGGGTGCTGGGTTGGCCTGGGTGCTGGGGGTTTACGTTATAGGTCTTATACAAAAGGATATAGAAAAAATACTCTACAATGCTACAGTTCCTTGTTCCTTATATATATAAGGGTTTAGGGGCAGTTTAGTGCAACCTCATGCCATACGACAAGGGCCATAGTCATGAGTCACTAGACCGTACCCTAATAGTATCGGGTCATCGCGTTCTTACAACCACCGCCAACAACACGTGATCTGCTTCTCCTCTCAACCGTTACACTAATACTAGCTTATTTGCTACTACAGCTGTGCCTTTAGCAAGCTTTTTATTAAAGGCCTTAACTATTAAGGTTAATGAGCTTTCTACATGCCTTTTAATTCTCTATTAAAATAGCGTAGGCTGGCGGATGGGTAGGGTAGGCTTTTTTTGTTTTTGCTTCTAGCTTCTTAAATAGTAGGGATACGCTTATGTAATATATATTTTAACAGATGCGCCTAGTTGTATTGCACTTTCTATTAAAAAAATAATTACCTAATTTAGCTAACTACTAACTAAGTTATTAAGCCTACCTAGCAAAAGCCTACCTAGGATGGGTATGCTTGCTAGGTACCCCCTTTTTTTACTGTCTTTTAGATTCACTATCTGTAATATAAGAGCTATAAGGAATAACTATATAAGTAAAATAAACTAAATGTAATTTTCTTTAAAACGGGCCCTTATTCGCCTTAATTAACCTAGTATTAGCTAAGTTAGGGGGGTCCCCAAATAGGACTTTAGAGCATACCAATCCGCCAGCCTAAACTAGCGTTTACTGTATCCTTATCTACAGGGTATTGCTTAGGGTTTAGGACTACTAGGGATTATCGTCTATAATAGGTAGTATTAGAGTACATAGGCAGACATCAAGGCCTATTATAACCTATACTGAGTTAAAGTAGACTAATCTAGGGCCTTAGAACCTCCCTTATATATTACTTGGAGTAAATGACTACTTGTAGGCGCCTGTAAATCAAAGTTAAAACTGGGAAACCACTTCTTTAACAACCAATTAAGCTAGAAATTAGATTAGAACAACTAGAAGTTTGTTGCGGTGCAAGTCGGTCCGACAGGCCTCGATCGTCACCTCAGTTGACTACCTTGGACTAGCACGTCTTAGGGCATGTATATGTGGTCGCCTCCTAGCTAGCAAGCAACTCAGCGCAGTTTTCCATCGATATACGGCGGCTACGTTTGCCGCAACAAAGTTTACTACAGTAGAGGTAATATCCCTGCACAACGTCAAACTTAACGTAGAAGGAAAGATCTTTCTAGTATTCTATATTAACAGACGCCGCCTCTGCTCCTAAAACCTGTTACTAGGCCAGACTAATATCTGTCAGCCTGGCACCTCAGTTCATACGGTACACTGTGAACTGCACCTCACGTGACTGTGTTAGTCACCTGCTTACTCATCTGGTTGTGTATATAATTGCTCGCTGTAGCTCCCTCAATACAACAACCTTCTGCCTCATTTGTATCTGCCCTGTGCTCCTACATCCGATAATATCCATTGATCGAACAAAACCAGTGTTCAGAAGCGATTCGCTGATGTTAAACACATTAGGCGGCGGTTATCACACCGCCCCTTGCAGGCCCCCCTAGGACGGCACGGGTGTCTGGTTTGGCAACCTCGTGAGAGCAGAATCCCTCTAGGCTGGCTAGCACTAAATTCAGGAAAGTATATGTATGCCGGGGGTTCTTCAGCATGCTAGCACTCAAGGCGCGGCTGTTGCACTGGGTGCACGGGTGGTGATAGTGGCTTGTGAAGCTGGCGACTACGGCGCATCAGTGTCGAGCGAGCCTTCCTGAGCTTTCAACTAGCATACACTAGGCTCATATGCATCATCGTCATCGTCTTGACACCAGATGAAGGGGTTCCGGGGCGATCGAACCTTGCGGTCGAAGAACTCTCTCAGAAGCTCCCGCTAGCCAAGAACGCAATAAGAGAGTCGGCCGGTATTCTGGGCATGTGAGACACAGCGAGTGGGCAAGTGCTCATTAAAGATATACATCTTTCGTGGTTAAGATATCACGGCATCCTTGACGTTTGCCTTCGAAATGATGTGGGCGTTGACCCCCAGACGGGCCGACATACAACCTGCCTTCATAGGCTGAAATTCAGCCTACTGCATTCTGGAAGGTCATGCTTGATCAATGACTCAATGATTTGGTAGTTTCGTCACTTTCCGTCATGGAACATTCATCACGCAAAGCACATCTCACAAAGCCAAAAAAAAGTGCAATACATGCATACCGTTTCTGAAACACTCACGGATTGACTGTTGCTTTCTATACCTCCTCAATTGCGTAGGCTTCAGTCATACTCTGAGATTTACTAGGAGAGAGACTTGAGTTGCTATAGATTGAATACACGTGATTCTTGTCTACTGTGCTACTCTTCTAGACTGATCTAGCTGGCTTCTTGCCTTTCCCTGACCCTGATCCCGATCCGGCTGGCTTTTTGACTGGTGGTGCTACTGGTGCTGCCGGTGCCTTTGGGGCTGGTCCCGCTGGCTTCGGGGCTGTTGGTGATGCAGGTCTAGAGTTCGACATTAAGTTTGCGAGGGTATCTGTCAAGTCCTCCATATCGGCAGTGTAATGTTTGAGTATCTCCTTGTACGCCTTCATAGTACCTTTGCCGCCAGGCACTACGTATTTTGCGTTTGGGATAGCGTGCATACCGATCTTGGTCAGTGCTTTGTCGGCCTCCGGCGAGTAAGCCATAGTAAGGGCTACAAAGGTGTAACCCGCAAAGGCGGGTTTTACGTCGAATTTCTTGTCTTTATCCTTCCCGACCGGCGTCTTGATAGCACTTCCCTTCTGCTCATTCTTGTTCTCACACTTGAGCTCAATGATCATGCCCTTCACCCGATTGGTCTCTGGAAGAACAAAGTCTGCGCGCTTTGAGTTCATATAGACTTCAGTCTTTTCGCGGATAGACAGATTTTCGTCGAGTGCAAAACCTTCTTTGAACTCATCCTCAAGTTCAACCTGCGCCCAGACTTCCCATCCTCCGTCAGTGCTACAGACGCCCTTCAATCTTTTCTGAACAAGAGGCTTTTTCATCCAGTTCACAATAGCTGTGTCGATATCGTAGTCTCTAGTCACTCTGGCTTCGATCGCGCCACGCTCACCCGAAGGCGCGGCAGAAATGCCAGAAGCAAGCAAGGCAGCGGCCGACAGGAGCGTGATGAGGGACTTCATCTTGACTTATCGAAGAAAAGATTTGTTGGCTGTGTGCGAAAAGTTGAACGAAGACGAATAGCGGTAGTTGTCTGAGCTAGCAGGCCTGTGAGTCGACGAAAAAGAGGGCTTGAAAAAGCGTCGCACCGGGCGAACGCGAGTAGTATGCAGGGAGTGCTTGCAGGGATAGCGTTGGAAAAGTATGAAGATCTTAATCGAAAGACCTGATGCGTGACAAACTGAGCGTGTATTTGCGTAAGACAGAAGGGACTGAGAGAACCGCTGCTCCAGGCAAACGGTAAAAAGAGAGTGGCTGTGGTGAGGCGGAGAAGGATGAGCGAATATGAATAGCAAGAAACAACTGCTATGCACAGCTCGACCGTTATATATGCGATGTCTGCCCTCGGAGACACATGGTCGGCCTACGGGTCTGGTGGAGAGGTTTCCAACTCAGATGTCGGAAACTGATGGCGCTCCGGAGTCTGACTGACTAATACGAATAGGTAGTCACAGATGATCTTCCCCGTCCAAGCCTGGAGACCCAAAATAGCAAGCTTAGTGATTGATCATCCTTAGTAGCGCTGGGCCCCTATGAACTGAAGGCAAGCGACGTCTGCCGCTCCGCCGCTACAACGACTAGAGTGCACACCCTCCCATTGAGCAACGCAACAGAGGCATCTGCCGTTCGGAGCGAGCTACGCACGATCGTATACATGCAGACTAGAGGTGTAGCCGACAAATGCGGACTTCTGCTCAACCCTGGTCAATGACCCTTAGAAAAGGATTACAGAAGAGATGCCCGAAGTCCGGGATTCGGGGACCTTTGAGGCGTAGTTAATGACCAGATAGATCCCGTTAAATAGAAACGCTAAGTTTAAGTGGGGATATGTAATAATGTGCCTGAGGTCTAAGCTCGGTGATTCGTGTATTTATAGATAGTAGCGTGGCTGTGCATTGTTGCATCACGTGACACATGGCTTCATTACGTTACCTCGTCTGCAATGCAGTGCAACGAACGTTTTACACAACTACAGCGCGCTTCTATTGGCAATGGCAATTTTCAACGACCTTGCAGTCGAGCTACAAGAGGCCATTTGGAAGCTTGTGCTCCCTGCCTCCCGTGGCGTGCACTGGGTCGAGGTTGACGGCATACCACATGATCCAGAGTTCATCCGCGACAGTATCCGTATGACCCAATGGTACAAGTTTGACCGCATTCCCGAGACGTATTCAGATGTCTACCATGTCCGGGGAGAAAATCCAGAGTTCAACATACGCGTTAGGGCAAACGAAGCGGAGGAGTCGAGCCCCTTCTTCCGCCATCTGCTCACCACTGTCCCAGCTGTCTTTGGGCGACCAGGACCGGACGAAGAGAACCAAAAGCTGCAAATCGACCTGGTTGATGAGATAGCTTATACGTCCCGCTGCAGGCAACTGTCGACCTATAACCAGATCACGACACTCCTCTCACTTTGCCGGCTATCGCGCAACATCGCGAGGCGGTACATTCGGGACAACCGCAAATGCAGCTGGAGTATCCGCCGCAGCATGGGCGTATCCTATCGACCGCGCCCGATAAAAGTCTGGGAGGCGCAGTACAGCGGCGACAAGATTCCGCCAGTCTCAAGGGACCATGCCTCTTGGCAGGTGCTTCGCCCTCAGATCCATGCGCTTGACCTTGTTGTCTTCCGGCTGCATGACAGTCAAGGCCGAGCAACATCGCTGCTTAAGCATGCGCCCTGGCAGTACTGGATCGAGCAATTCACGCATGATACAACCTTTGCATGCTTTGATCGCGTAGGCATAGAGTGGCATCCATCGTGGGGTACTGTGGGTGGACGGGGTGAGCTGCGTCCAGGGAACGTCCAAGCGTTCATCAGAACAATGGTAGTTTCTCACTCCCCTGCGACACTATACTGGCTGGTTGATGGCGTGCCGCGCCCAGACTGGAATTGCTACCCGCTCGTTGTACGGGACATTTTCTCAAGGCGCATGGCCCAGCAAGAGGGCGCTGTCTTGGAGCATCTCAACGAGCACTGGAAACTGAAGCCTGAGGACCATGCAGCGTTCTCAGACCACCATCTTGGCCAGGAGTTTGAGGCCAACGGACGGCGATACTACATCGTCTTTGTTGTATTACACCAATTTGATGAAGAGGAGAGGGATGAGCTAAACAAGGCTGGGCTAGGCTGGCGTGGGCCGTTCCCAGGTAGCGCGGCTTTGTGGCCCGAAGCGCTCAGAGAACCCGTGCGGCATGCTTATGACATCCATCGAGAAGGTTGGGCAAATTTAGGGACGTATAAGAGCCATACCTATATTCTTAGCTGGGAGCCAATTGAATGAAGCAGAACGAACTCGCGCTCGGACAGTGTACCGGGGTACGGTAGAAGAACAAGAAACTGAGCTCGAATAAATGATCTCTGCGTTATACAATATACTTCATATCAACGAGACCCTACCTCCACGCGACCTTCACGAATAGGACCCCGACTCGGCCGTTCGACTGCGATTTCGGTACTGATTCGCCTCCTTCGGACCTAGCTAGAAGTCAAGCCCTTTTTGTGATCTGTTTAGGTTTGGCTCAGTCATAGCCTAATGTGCATGTGCTTGGATCTATACTTGTACCTGTACATGTTTTCTGAAAAGAAGAGAAAAGAAGCACAGTACTTTTTGTCTGACTATCTGCAATGCTGGTAGAGAGTTCCTGCAGTGTCCACCTGGACGGTCTACTCAGGCGATCCAGGAAAGGGCCCACTTCTCACAAGTGCCTCTGCGCCATCCTCTTGGACCATCCCCACGGGAAACCCTGTAAAGAACAAGGCAGGTAGGCAGGGCAGCTGCAACAGCGCTCTTCATTCCCACGTGACCCCCATCGCTGACAATGCAGCACAGCCTGCTGAGCAGGAAGTCCCAAACGTTATCTCTCATGCGCCTGAATTTGTACACCTATTGTGCAAACCATACCAAAGCGTCGTGCCGTACAAGACACTCTATTTCCACCTCAACAGCTATCACAAGAGCCGCAGTTTGTTCTGCAAGGTCATCGTCTCTCAACACCAAGGTCTCCCAGTTTCGCAGACTAACGCACATATCATGCCCCTTCCAGATAGATCCTCTCCATTGGAGTTTGTAGCACCACCTAAGCAGGGCTACCGGTACTTCTGCCCGCAATGCGACCACAGAACTTCCGGTTAGGATGTGCTTCTGCTGCACTTTCAAAGGGCATTTTGCAGTAGAGGGCAAAAGATACAGAATAACTTGTCATGCTTCCTTTAATAATAGGCGCCTGTTAGACGACCCGTTAGAGGGACCTTGCGCGTACATAATGCCACACATAAAGCTGAACGCGAGATGGGGGATAGGCCAAGTAGCAACCAGTCTGTCGTGGATAATCCTGTGACGCCCGCTCCTCCGCAGATGGATGCCGAGGAGGAAGCTAGGCTCCTACAAGAAGGGCGAGAGTTAATGTCCCTAAGCAATGAGCTCGAGCACGACGGATTCTAGCTACAAGCCTACTATGCTAACGTACCTCACGGGCGAGCCGGTCAACGGGCGAGCCGGTCACTTTTGCCAAGCCCCCACCAAACTTCACTCTATTATGGCCCAAAACACCACACTTTGGCGTTGCACAGCGTAGTGCAGTCTGTTATATTATTTAGAGACTGCTTCTACATTATTCTTGTATATTTGCACTAGACTAGCGGATGGGGAGGGTATGCTTTTTCACATTTTAGCTTCTAGCTCTTCAACTAACGTAGATTATCACCAAGCCAGCCATATCACCAAACTAGCCACTTTTTCTTAGCACAACCACCTTTTACCCTAACATAACATGCCTTAATAATAATAACTTTAGAATACTACTACAGAAGGTAGAGTTATTATTACTATCTAGGCCTTCTATGCCAGCTAATTTCGCAGTATCTACAGTGCTGCTAGAGCGTTAAACATACCTTATTAGCAGGTCTCTCATCGCCTTTGCAATATCACGTTTTAACTAGATATACGCGCTAATTACTAGAAATTACTATACTAGAGGAGCAGATAATTGTAACGGGCTAGGCCCGATGGTAGCGCCTCGGCGCTCGCCGGCCTCGGCCAACCTCCGAGAGGAGGTGCCTGCCCAGC